TGGAAGTGGATAGGGCACACATTGAGGAAAGCACACAACTGCGTCACGAGACAAGCCCTCACATGGAATCCTCAAGGCCAAAGGAAAATAGGAAGATCAAAGAACACATTACGCCGGGAAATGGAGATAGACATGAGAAAAATGAACGAGAATTGGATGGAACTAGAAAAGAAGGCCCAGGATAGAGTGGGTTGGAGAATGCTGGTCTGCGGCCTATGCTCTACTGGGAGTAACAAGCGTAAGTACGTAGTGACCTGAGAGCGTGACCGCAGTGCCCAAGTGAGAACTGCCTGAGGTCGGTCACACACGACCTTTTTACGGGTATTTTTGTGTTAGCTCCGTACTTGTTGAGACCTTGCCGCCGGAGACGGATATCCGTGGGATACGGCGAGGTGTGCATTTTTAGGGTCGACTTTTTCTAACCCCATCTCTCCTTGTGGGAAGGCAGCATCGCTGTCATGCTGGTTGTCTGAAGGAAACACCTTACTGCTGTCACACCTCTGTACAGTCAGCAGTACGACTTCGCCTTCGGACCTTGGGTTTGTTGCTTTTATTCTTACCGCTCCTCAACCGAATTGTCTGACATGATAGGACCTTGAGGAACGGTTGTTCCAGCCAGTATAGCTTGGTTGCTTCATCACGATAGGCAAGCCCGACCACCACGTCAAGGTAGCAACAACGGTCGGGAGCTTGGATACAGTACTCCAAGTATGGTCTTACATAGGTGGGATATAAAATTCGAAACATTTCCTCGTCAAAGCATTTAAATGCACAGCGAAGTGACCATGAGGCACGAAAACCTTTGACTGCAGCTGCGTTGCAATGCGTAGTCGTTTTCAAGTCATGACTTATTATTACTCTTAAGTTTATGTTCTTAAACACGTGGAAGAGATATACGATCACTAGTATAGTGGTAACTATTACCGTGTCCGATTTGCATGAGCACACTTCTTAGAATTAACTTCTAAACATCAACCTCGAGCTCATCTAACTAATTCGTCTAAGTCAGCTTGGAGATCAAAATGATCAGCCTCACTTCTTATTGTTCTCCAGATTTTGACATCATCCGCAAACAATAATGTCGAAGACTTAAGCAAAAGCGGTAATTCGTTAACGTAGAGAAGTAATAGTAGAGGGCCTAAGATGATGCCTTGGGGTACACCACTTTTGACTGGCTTCTATTCGGATAGCGTTCCATTCACCCTCACTCTCTGTCTGCGGTCACATACGAAGTTTCTCATCCATTCCTGTATAGCACCTGTTATTCCGAAGCTCGAGAGCTTCTGCATAAGACCTAGGTGCGAAACCTTGTCAAATGCTTTGCTAAAATCTATGGATATTTATTTATTTATTTATTTATTTGAACACATAAATATTGGTACAAGAGAGCGCCAATATATATGCGCCACACAAAACAATGAGAATTCGAAGAGAAAGAAAAAAAGGTAAGGGGCGTAAAAAAAAGAGAACACTAACGAAGAGGTTGGTGTAAGGGAGTGTAGTAATAATAATAGTAATAATGGGGGAACGGAAAGGTACAATCAGAAGAAATCTTTCAGGTAAGGGAGACACAACCACTTTTATGAAGAAAGTAAAAGAAGGTTACAGCAGTATCGCCACTGGCTTCTGTTCTGAGCCATATCTGATAACGTCTCTAGCCACTGTGTAGCACCATCTCTCGGACCCCAATCAGGGAGTCGTGAAGGACCAACAGAAGCCAGCCCTTTGCAGCTTTCTTTCATACCACGACACCATGTCATGCACTGACCACCTCTCCGCTTCTTCCAACCAGTCCAGAGTCGGCAAATAATGCACGACGTGGAATTCTCTGGGACGACATTCGTAGAACATGTCCAAGCCACCGAAGTCGGTGTTTCAAGATGGTGACACCAATTGCATTATCGTCTATGTGCCCGAACACACGATGGCGAACCTCTGCAGCGATGATCGAACACAGAGAGTCGTCTAACATCCTCAACTAGGAGAGGCCAGGTTTCACAAGCATAGAGCAAAACTGCTCTCACCGACGCGTTATAGATCCGACCTTTTACAGCCAGCCACGTATTGGTTTGGCCGCCCCTAACTTTCTTCCAACCACCTCCAACACCGGTTAGCATTCCACGTCGTGGTAATCGGTGTTCAGGCATACGTAACACGTGGCCAACAGTCTTAGTCGATGAAGATTAACAACCTCATCAATTGATTTACCATCATTACCTAATACCCCGCGTCTAACCCCACTATTGCTTACCCGGTGATCCCAGCAGATGCGAATTATCGCCCTCAACGGTTGAAGACCACATAGAAAGACTGTCAAGGCGGAGAGAATTAAGAAAGAATGTCACCAAACATAACACACGAATAGGCAGTCATAGGTGAGTCCCGTGGACGAAAATATTATGGCGATTCTCTTTGAAAGTGAGGATTCGGCCATCTGATGCGAAGACAATCCCTAACTATTCTTAATGTCTTGTCATATTTTGAATAGTCTGATGCTGCTAAAATAGGTAAAGACTGGTGGCCACATTGCAAAATGATCGATAGCATTCGATCTGCACTAATAAGGACTAGACACGCATGGCACTGATCGCCACTCAGTGATCAATCAATTGGGATCGTAGTGAGTAAGTAACAGGTCTGAAACCAGTGGTTTTTTTAATTTCTTCAGAAGCAGCTTGACAATCTGTAGACCAATCTCATTTTATATCCTTCGTCAGAAGATTCTTTAACGGAGCGCGTTAGCGATGAAGGTTCGGTAGAAAGGCTACATGATTGCTAACTAGTCTCAAAAAGATCGTAGTGTGGGGACATCCGTCGGTATAGGCATAGCTATTACTTTCACAAGTTGAAATCATGAGCCAATTGAAGCTAGACCACCATCGAAAACCTAGAAGCACTGGACGGCCGTTTCGTCCTAGTATGGGACTCCTCAGCAGTGCGCATCCACGAACCCGCCCCCCGCGGGATACGAACCCAGGACCTACTGGCTTCGCGCGCGAGCACTCAACCATTAGACCACTGAGCGGGCATCCAACGGTGTTAATGTCTAACTTCAACCAATCCACGAAGTTGCGCCACCGTACACAATTGTCTTCAGTGAGTTCCTATCTCACAACAGACCTGGTTGAACTCCACTGGTAACGACTTCTCACTAGAACTCCAGGAGTGTCTCCTGAAGTCGGTCACTAGTGAGCAGGTGATTATTATTATCAGAATGGGTTTTGTGGAGATTTTTAGAAATTTCACAAGTTCAAATCATGAGCCAATTGAAGCTAGACCACCATCGAAAATCTGGAAGCACTGGACGGCCGTTTCGTCCTAGTATGGGACTCCTCAGCAGTGCGCACCCACGAACCCGCCCCCCGCGTGATGTTCTCACGCTCGCTAACCCGAGGCTTATACCGGAAATCTGGAAGCTGGCTCACATCACACCAGTTTTCAGAGGAGGTCGACGCAGCGAACCTTCGAGCTACTGACCGGTGGATCTTTTCTCTTTACTTTCAAAAATTATGGGGTCCCTGATATGCGGCGGTATACATGACTATTTATTATCTTTAAATTTCTTCTCACCCCAACAGCATGATTTCAGGGAGGGTCATTCTTGTATAACCAACCTGCTGACTGCGGTGGACAGATGGACAACCATCCTTGATCGCAAGGGGAAGGTTGACGTCATTTACCTCGACTTCTCAAAAGCATTTGATGGGATCAACCATACATGTCTTATCAATAAGCTCTAATGAATAGGTATCAAATCAACTTTGATTGATTGACTCACTTCACTTCTCAAAAAATCGACATTTTGAGGTCAGGGTTAACCTCACTTTCTCTCAGGCTATGAAATGTCCTAGTGGGGTCTCCCGGGGTTCAGTGCTTGGACCCCTTTATTTATTGATTTATATAAATGATCTTTCACAACGGGTGTCGTCAGACTCATCACTTTTGCCGATGATGTGAAACTTTGGAGAGAGATACGCAACCAAGAGGATATACTGGCGCTTCAGGAGGATCTGACTCGACTTCAAAGTTAGGAAGACAACAACGGACTTGCCTTCAACACCTCAAAGTGTAAAGTAGTCCGTCTGAGACATGTTGCAGACTACATTTACAACTTGGGAAACTCCTCTCTAGAAGTATCCCAAGTTGAAAAAGATTTAGGAGTGCGGGTACCCTACGATTTGAAGTCTTACGCTAACTGTGACAAAAATGCCTTTCGAGAAAACTTTGCACTGGTAACATTGGAGCGCATTTTGGCCAGTTTGATGGAAGAAATTTCCAAATAATCTTCAACAGTTTCATTCGTCCCCATTTAGAGTACGGGAACATAGTATATCCTCCCTCACTCCAAAAGGATAAGGAGCGTATCCGACGGCGAGCCACGGAATTACTTCGGGGACCCAAATTCAAGCCTTATGGGGAGCGCCTTCAGTCACTAAGACTTTGCCCAATAGAGTACAGGCGTCTTAGAGTTGACCTTCTAATGGCTCACAGCATCATTAACACTTCTGGACATCCCCTTAAACATCTAGATAAGTTTAGCTCCAACACAAACTTAAGGGGTAACATCCAGAAACTAGCGACAAAACACAGCAGAACGGACTGTAGGCACAACTTGTACTTCTTAAGAGTTGTCGAATGCTGGAATTAGCTGCCGGCTGATCTAGTCCAAGCGACTTCTCAAGAGTCCTTTAAGATGCAACTTGACCTATTCTTAAGGATTAATGGTAGTACTTTACTATGATTTACCAATTTCTTTTCCTCTTTTATCGTTAATATACGTAGATTCCTACTTAGAGGTATTGGTGATCCACTGCTACTAGACACGGAAGCCCGTTAGGCGTAAGCTTTAATTCCGTTCAAAACCATTTTGATCATTTAGACTAAAAACCTATCTACTGCGTCACAAACGCTCTGATTCTATGTTCAAATATGTATCAGAGATTTTCTTTTGCAACTTGTGTTGTGTACAATGAAACCTTTTATGATTAATTGATTGGAGGTTGAACCACTTTGTCTGTATTAGGGTTTTGTTTATCCTAACTGATCTTCCGCCTGGCTCGACAATTCAGTAGAGTTGGTTGCGTGCTGTTGGCGTGTTCTCTCCGTTCACTGTCGCGAATATGAGTTCTCAGCCTGATCATATCAACGCAGTGGTTATAGGACATGTAGATAGTGGGAAATCCACTACTACCGGTCATCTAATTTACAAATGCGGTGGCATTGACAAACGTGCTATCGAAAAGTTTGAGAAAGAGGCTGCTGAGGTAAGTGTATCATTTCCTAGTCACACTGCTTTAGATGGGTAAAGGTTCTTTTAAATATGCTTGGGTACTGGATAAACTGAAGGCAGAACGCGAGCGTGGCATCACGATCGATATTGCATTGTGGAAGTTCGATACCAATAAGTACAAAGTCACAGTTATTGATGCACCTGGCCATCGTGACTTCATCAAGAACATGATCACAGGAACAAGTCAGGCTGACTGTGCAATGCTGATTGTTGCGGCTGGTGTTGGTGAGTTTGAAGCTGGTATTTCCAAGAATGGTCAGACAAGAGAACATGCCTTGTTGGCATACACGTTGGGTGTCAAGCAGTTGATTGTCGCAATTAATAAAATGGACTGCACTGAACCACCTTTCTCTGAAGATCGCTACAAAGAAATCGTCAAAGAAGTGTCCGGCTACATTAAAAAAGTCGGGTACAATCCCGCTGCAGTTCCATTTGTGCCGATCTCTGGCTGGCATGGTGATAATATGGTAGAAAGGAGTACAAACATGCCTTGGTTTAAGGGTTGGGAAGTTACAAGAGTAAAGGATGGAAAGAATGTTACTGACACTGGCTTCACATTGATAGAAGCAATAGATAAGATGAATCCACCCACAAGAATGACTGAAAAACCATTGAGAATACCACTACAAGATGTTTACAAGATTGGTGGCATTGGTACCGTTCCTGTTGGTCGTGTGGAAACTGGATTATAAGACCTGGTATGGTCGTCACCTTTGCTCCGCAAAATTTGTCGACTGAAGTCAAGTCGGTCGAGATGCACCACGAAGCACTCACCGAAGGTCTCCCTGGAAGCAATGTTGGATTCAATGTGAAGAACGTGCCTGTTAGTGAAATCCATCGCGGCAATGTTGCAGGTGATTCCAAAAATGATCCTCCTAAAGCAGCTGAGAGTTTCATGGCGCAAGTAATTGTCATGAATCATCCAGGTGAGATCAAAAATGGCTATTCTCCAGTCCTTGATTGTCATACTGCACATGTTGCCTGCAAATTTAGTGAAATAACTGAGAAGCTTGATCGACGTTCAGGGAAGGTGATTGAAGAAAATCCAAAGTTCATTAAAACTGGTGACGCTGCAAACGTGAAACTTGTACCGTCCAAACCCATGTGTGTTGAGACATTCCAGGAGTACCCACCGCTCGGTCGCTTTGCTGTTCGAGATATGAAGCAAACAGTAGCTGTCGGTGTCGTTAAAAGTGTCGTCAAGAAAGCTGATGCAAGTAAAGTTACAAAGTCCGCTGCAAAGGCTTCAAAGAAAAAGTAACTTATCGTTTTAGTATACCAATTAAACTTATTGGATCAAAACTGCTTTTCTAAAATTGCTTGATCAAATCATGTGTTTAGTATTGTATATTTGATTAAGTAGTCTTGTCGACTGTTTAGGTTATGTCGACCGGATTGTTGTTTATGCGTCGCTTAAGTAGTACTCAGTCGAATGGGGCCTTGTTAAATTAAGTCTAGGTGACACGGTCTGAGTTTTGGATTTCAGTGTGCGTTATTCCTGGGTTCTAATGCTTTGCTAATCAAGAAAATGTGGTTTGCACCTGCTAATGTAACAAGAATGCGTGTAGGTCGTCTGGAGTCTTAAGCCCAGGTTGTTCAGCTGTCGTATGCGTGGATAAATCGTTTTGTTGAAACAGCGAACCTGACTGAAGGGTTTTTTGTACGATATTATTGTGAGGTTACTTTCGATGTAAATTGCTGTGTCTACTCAAATGGTTGTGGACGGAATAGAAGAAGCTTTCGCTTAACAGGCTTCCGTGTCTAGTAGCAGGGGATCACCAAATCCTCCAGGCAAGAACCTAAATATGTTAACAATAAAAAAGGAAAAGAAATTGGTAAATCATAATGTGATGCTGTCCTTAAGAATAGGTCAAGTTGCCTCTTGAAGGACTCCTGAGAAGTCGCTTGGACTAGCTCGGCCGACAGTGAATTCCAGCTTTTGACAACTCTTAAGGAGTAGAAGTTGTGTCTACATTCCGTCTTGCTATGTTGTGTTTCCAATTTCTGGGTGTTACCCCTTAGATTATTATTCGAACTAAGCTTAAGTAGGTGTTTAAGAGGATGTCCAGAAGTGTTAAGAATACTATAAGCCATTAGTAAATCACCTCTAAGACGCCTATATTCTAGTGGGTAAAGGTCTAGTGAACGGAGGCGTTCTTCGTAAGGCTTAGATTTCAGTTAGGGAATGCATCTGCGGATTCCCAGCTACTTATACCGTTATGCTGATAGACAGTGACACCAGGAAAATATGTTGGCTTTCGTCCATGGGATTAAACCCTAGAACACTAAGCTTCAGGTTGGGACACGGTATTAATTCCCGTCTCCTGAAGGTATTTTCTACGCATCAAAGGGATGTTGTGTTACACGTGAGGTTAGTTAAGTGTTGAAATCATTCTTGTGTGAATTGTGACTTCTGCTCGCTTCATAGGTAGTTGGACCTAAGCTGTCGGCGAATCAATGCTAGTCGTGGTGACGGAGGTCGTTTCCTCAGTGCCGCGCACTTATTTCGAAGGCAATTATCGTGTACACTTTAGAGTAATCTCTAACTAACTTCTGGACAGTCCAAGCAATTAGTTCAAATCATTATGGAGAGCTGTCTCATCGGTGTCACTGCACACTACTTAGCGAATATTTACATAGTCTTCAAACAAAATTGAGAAACGTCCCACTCTGTTAGTGTTGGTGTGAGACACTGGCACACCCCTCCATCCAAAAGCACCCAGTTTATTGATAGTCTCATCGGTCTCACAGTACGTGTTTGGTCCAGGCTTTTATTATGTTATTTTCAAGTTTGAAATCTTGTGCATAGGTCCTACAGAGTTTCCGCATCGAATGTTTATTAAAACCGGTGAATATTACCGGAATTCATCCGTGCCTGTACCTTTGGATTGGGATAACAAAACGTGCTTGAAGTTAATGCTTCAGAATTCACTTTTCTATCATCAGTGTACCTTAATAATGTATAAAGATAATTTGGTGTCGTCAGTGATGTCCGTTCCGCGTCAAACACGGTTGTTCGCTATTCTCAATCAGAAAGCCTAATGTTTCAATTTAAAAAGCTTCAAGAGCATAAACACTTAGGAGTAGTGATAAGTCATGATTTGAAAACAACTGCGCATTGCAAAGCAGCCGCTGTCAAAGGTTTTCGTGCGTTATGGTCACTTCGACGAGCGTTCAGATCTTTTGACGAGGAAAACGTTTCGAATTTTATATCCCATATATGTAAGACCACATTTAGAGTACTGTATCCAAGCAGCTAGCCCGTGTCTGGTAAAGGATACTAACTCCCTTGAGCGTGTCCAGCGTGTGGGAACGAAATTAGTGAAGGTTGTTTCTAGACTCCCTTACGATGAGCGTTTAAAACGCCTAAATCATTCCCCCTTATCGTATCGTAGGACACGAGGTGACCTTATACTGCACTCGTATCTCTAATTATGATTTGGGTGTTAATATGTCTTATCATTTTGCCCCCCCCTCGAGCACTAATAATCTCCGAGGTCATAGCAAGAAGGTTCATAAACCACGATCTAATAAACTTAAAGTGTGGTCTTGTTTTTCTCATCGAGTAGTCAATCATTGAGACGCCTTACCCGAACAAGTGGTATCAGCTCCATCAGTGAATACTTTCAAGGAAAAGCTGGACCTTCACTGGAAAGCAGTGTATCAGGATTAATACAGGTTCACCAACCTACTATCCTTATTACTGAGGACTGGGTGATGAATCCAATTATAGAAAGCGGATAGGTATTTGTTCAGTCACTATTTAATTTCCCGAATTCATCTCAGGGTATTAAAAAGGTGGTTAGTAGTTCTAAATTTATTTTATATTATTTGAACACATAAATATTGGTACAAGAGAGCGCCAATATATATGCGCCACACAAAACAATGAGAATTCGAAGAGAAAGAAAAAAAGGTAAGGGGCGTAAAAAAAAGAGAACACTAACGAAGAGGTTGGTGTAAGGGAGTGTAGTAATAATAATAGTAATAATGGGGGAACGGAAAGGTACAATCAGAAGAAATCTTTCAGGTAAGGGAGACACAACCACTTTTATGAAGAAAGTAAAAGAAGGTTACAGCAGTATCGCCACTGGCTTCTGTTCTGAGCCATATCTGATAACGTCTCTAGCCACTGTGTAGCACCATCTCTCGGACCCCAATCAGGGAGTCGTGAAGGACCAACAGAAGCCAGCCCATTGCAGCTTTCTTTCATACCACGACACCATGTCATGCACTGACCACCTCTTCGCTTCTTCCAACCAGTCCAGAGTCGGCAAATAATGCACGACGTGGAATTCTCTGGGACGACATTCGTAGAACATGTCCAAGCCACCAAAGTCAGTGTTTCAAGATGGTGACACCAATTGCATTATCGTCTATGTGCCCGAACACACGATGGCGAACCTCTGCAGCGATGATCGAACACAGAGAGTCGTCTAACATCCTCAACTAGGAGAGGCCAGGTTTCACAAGCATAGAGCAAAACTGCTCTCACCGACGCGTTATAGATCCGACCTTTTACAGCCAGCCACGTATTAGTTTGGCCGCCCCTAACTTTCTTCCAACCACCTCCAACACCGGTTAGCATTCCACGTCGTGGTAATCGGTGTTCAGGCATACGTAACACGTGGCCAACAGTCTTAGTCGATGAAGATTAACAACCTCATCAATTGATTTACCATCATTACCTAATACCCCGCGTCTAACCCCACTATTGCTTACCCGGTGATCCCAGCAGATGCGAATTATCGCCCTCAACGGTTGAAGACCACATAGAAAGACTGTCAAGGCGGAGAGAATTAAGAAAGAATGTCACCAAACATAACACACGAATAGGCAGTCATAGGTGAGTCCCGTGGACGAAAATATTATGGCGATTCTCTTTGAAAGTGAGGATTCGGCCATCTGATGCGAAGACAATCCCTAACTATTCTTAATGTCTTGTCATATTTTGAATAGTCTGATGCTGCTAAAATAGGTAAAGACTGGTGGCCACATTGCAAAATGATCGATAGCATTCGATCTGCACTAATAAGGACTAGACACGCATGGCACTGATCGCCACTCAGTGATCAATCAATTGGGATCGTAGTGAGTAAGTAACAGGTCTGAAACCAGTGGTTTTTTTAATTTCTTCAGAAGCAGCTTGACAATCTGTAGACCAATCTCATTTTATATCCTTCGTCAGAAGATTCTTTAACGGAGCGCGTTAGCGATGAAGGTTCGGTAGAAAGGCTACATGATTGCTAACTAGTCTCAAAAAGATCGTAGTGTGGGGACATCCGTCGGTATAGGCATAGCTATTACTTTCACAAGTTGAAATCATGAGCCAATTGAAGCTAGACCACCATCGAAAACCTAGAAGCACTGGACGGCCGTTTCGTCCTAGTATGGGACTCCTCAGCAGTGCGCATCCACGAACCCGCCCCCCGCGGGATACGAACCCAGGACCTACTGGCTTCGCGCGCGAGCACTCAACCATTAGACCACTGAGCGGGCATCCAACGGTGTTAATGTCTAACTTCAACCAATCCACGAAGTTGCGCCACCGTACACAATTGTCTTCAGTGAGTTCCTATCTCACAACAGACCTGGTTGAACTCCACTGGTAACGACTTCTCACTAGAACTCCAGGAGTGTCTCCTGAAGTCGGTCACTAGTGAGCAGGTGATTATTATTATCAGAATGGGTTTTGTGGAGATTTTTAGAAATTTCACAAGTTCAAATCATGAGCCAATTGAAGCTAGACCACCATCGAAAATCTGGAAGCACTGGACGGCCGTTTCGTCCTAGTATGGGACTCCTCAGCAGTGCGCACCCACGAACCCGCCCCCCGCGTGATGTTCTCACGCTCGCTAACCCGAGGCTTATACCGGAAATCTGGAAGCTGGCTCACATCACACCAGTTTTCAGAGGAGGTCGACGCAGCGAACCTTCGAGCTACTGACCGGTGGATCTTTTCTCTTTACTTTCAAAAATTATGGGGTCCCTGATATGCGGCGGTATACATGACTATTTATTATCTTTAAATTTCTTCTCACCCCAACAGCATGATTTCAGGGAGGGTCATTCTTGTATAACCAACCTGCTGACTGCGGTGGACAGATGGACAACCATCCTTGATCGCAAGGGGAAGGTTGACGTCATTTACCTCGACTTCTCAAAAGCATTTGATGGGATCAACCATACATGTCTTATCAATAAGCTCTAATGAATAGGTATCAAATCAACTTTGATTGATTGACTCACTTCACTTCTCAAAAAATCGACATTTTGAGGTCAGGGTTAACCTCACTTTCTCTCAGGCTATGAAATGTCCTAGTGGGGTCTCCCGGGGTTCAGTGCTTGGACCCCTTTATTTATTGATTTATATAAATGATCTTTCACAACGGGTGTCGTCAGACTCATCACTTTTGCCGATGATGTGAAACTTTGGAGAGAGATACGCAACCAAGAGGATATACTGGCGCTTCAGGAGGATCTGACTCGACTTCAAAGTTAGGAAGACAACAACGGACTTGCCTTCAACACCTCAAAGTGTAAAGTAGTCCGTCTGAGACATGTTGCAGACTACATTTACAACTTGGGAAACTCCTCTCTAGAAGTATCCCAAGTTGAAAAAGATTTAGGAGTGCGGGTACCCTACGATTTGAAGTCTTACGCTAACTGTGACAAAAATGCCTTTCGAGAAAACTTTGCACTGGTAACATTGGAGCGCATTTTGGCCAGTTTGATGGAAGAAATTTCCAAATAATCTTCAACAGTTTCATTCGTCCCCATTTAGAGTACGGGAACATAGTATATCCTCCCTCACTCCAAAAGGATAAGGAGCGTATCCGACGGCGAGCCACGGAATTACTTCGGGGACCCAAATTCAAGCCTTATGGGGAGCGCCTTCAGTCACTAAGACTTTGCCCAATAGAGTACAGGCGTCTTAGAGTTGACCTTCTAATGGCTCACAGCATCATTAACACTTCTGGACATCCCCTTAAACATCTAGATAAGTTTAGCTCCAACACAAACTTAAGGGGTAACATCCAGAAACTAGCGACAAAACACAGCAGAACGGACTGTAGGCACAACTTGTACTTCTTAAGAGTTGTCGAATGCTGGAATTAGCTGCCGGCTGATCTAGTCCAAGCGACTTCTCAAGAGTCCTTTAAGATGCAACTTGACCTATTCTTAAGGATTAATGGTAGTACTTTACTATGATTTACCAATTTCTTTTCCTCTTTTATCGTTAATATACGTAGATTCCTACTTAGAGGTATTGGTGATCCACTGCTACTAGACACGGAAGCCCGTTAGGCGTAAGCTTTAATTCCGTTCAAAACCATTTTGATCATTTAGACTAAAAACCTATCTACTGCGTCACAAACGCTCTGATTCTATGTTCAAATATGTATCAGAGATTTTCTTTTGCAACTTGTGTTGTGTACAATGAAACCTTTTATGATTAATTGATTGGAGGTTGAACCACTTTGTCTGTATTAGGGTTTTGTTTATCCTAACTGATCTTCCGCCTGGCTCGACAATTCAGTAGAGTTGGTTGCGTGCTGTTGGCGTGTTCTCTCCGTTCACTGTCGCGAATATGAGTTCTCAGCCTGATCATATCAACGCAGTGGTTATAGGACATGTAGATAGTGGGAAATCCACTACTACCGGTCATCTAATTTACAAATGCGGTGGCATTGACAAACGTGCTATCGAAAAGTTTGAGAAAGAGGCTGCTGAGGTAAGTGTATCATTTCCTAGTCACACTGCTTTAGATGGGTAAAGGTTCTTTTAAATATGCTTGGGTACTGGATAAACTGAAGGCAGAACGCGAGCGTGGCATCACGATCGATATTGCATTGTGGAAGTTCGATACCAATAAGTACAAAGTCACAGTTATTGATGCACCTGGCCATCGTGACTTCATCAAGAACATGATCACAGGAACAAGTCAGGCTGACTGTGCAATGCTGATTGTTGCGGCTGGTGTTGGTGAGTTTGAAGCTGGTATTTCCAAGAATGGTCAGACAAGAGAACATGCCTTGTTGGCATACACGTTGGGTGTCAAGCAGTTGATTGTCGCAATTAATAAAATGGACTGCACTGAACCACCTTTCTCTGAAGATCGCTACAAAGAAATCGTCAAAGAAGTGTCCGGCTACATTAAAAAAGTCGGGTACAATCCCGCTGCAGTTCCATTTGTGCCGATCTCTGGCTGGCATGGTGATAATATGGTAGAAAGGAGTACAAACATGCCTTGGTTTAAGGGTTGGGAAGTTACAAGAGTAAAGGATGGAAAGAATGTTACTGACACTGGCTTCACATTGATAGAAGCAATAGATAAGATGAATCCACCCACAAGAATGACTGAAAAACCATTGAGAATACCACTACAAGATGTTTACAAGATTGGTGGCATTGGTACCGTTCCTGTTGGTCGTGTGGAAACTGGATTATAAGACCTGGTATGGTCGTCACCTTTGCTCCGCAAAATTTGTCGACTGAAGTCAAGTCGGTCGAGATGCACCACGAAGCACTCACCGAAGGTCTCCCTGGAAGCAATGTTGGATTCAATGTGAAGAACGTGCCTGTTAGTGAAATCCATCGCGGCAATGTTGCAGGTGATTCCAAAAATGATCCTCCTAAAGCAGCTGAGAGTTTCATGGCGCAAGTAATTGTCATGAATCATCCAGGTGAGATCAAAAATGGCTATTCTCCAGTCCTTGATTGTCATACTGCACATGTTGCCTGCAAATTTAGTGAAATAACTGAGAAGCTTGATCGACGTTCAGGGAAGGTGATTGAAGAAAATCCAAAGTTCATTAAAACTGGTGACGCTGCAAACGTGAAACTTGTACCGTCCAAACCCATGTGTGTTGAGACATTCCAGGAGTACCCACCGCTCGGTCGCTTTGCTGTTCGAGATATGAAGCAAACAGTAGCTGTCGGTGTCGTTAAAAGTGTCGTCAAGAAAGCTGATGCAAGTAAAGTTACAAAGTCCGCTGCAAAGGCTTCAAAGAAAAAGTAACTTATCGTTTTAGTATACCAATTAAACTTATTGGATCAAAACTGCTTTTCTAAAATTGCTTGATCAAATCATGTGTTTAGTATTGTATATTTGATTAAGTAGTCTTGTCGACTGTTTAGGTTATGTCGACCGGATTGTTGTTTATGCGTCGCTTAAGTAGTACTCAGTCGAATGGGGCCTTGTTAAATTAAGTCTAGGTGACACGGTCTGAGTTTTGGATTTCAGTGTGCGTTATTCCTGGGTTCTAATGCTTTGCTAATCAAGAAAATGTGGTTTGCACCTGCTAATGTAACAAGAATGCGTGTAGGTCGTCTGGAGTCTTAAGCCCAGGTTGTTCAGCTGTCGTATGCGTGGATAAATCGTTTTGTTGAAACAGCGAACCTGACTGAAGGGTTTTTTGTACGATATTATTGTGAGGTTACTTTCGATGTAAATTGCTGTGTCTACTCAAATGGTTGTGGACGGAATAGAAGAAGCTTTCGCTTAACAGGCTTCCGTGTCTAGTAGCAGGGGATCACCAAATCCTCCAGGCAAGAACCTAAATATGTTAACAATAAAAAAGGAAAAGAAATTGGTAAATCATAATGTGATGCTGTCCTTAAGAATAGGTCAAGTTGCCTCTTGAAGGACTCCTGAGAAGTCGCTTGGACTAGCTCGGCCGACAGTGAATTCCAGCTTTTGACAACTCTTAAGGAGTAGAAGTTGTGTCTACATTCCGTCTTGCTATGTTGTGTTTCCAATTTCTGGGTGTTACCCCTTAGATTATTATTCGAACTAAGCTTAAGTAGGTGTTTAAGAGGATGTCCAGAAGTGTTAAGAATACTATAAGCCATTAGTAAATCACCTCTAAGACGCCTATATTCTAGTGGGTAAAGGTCTAGTGAACGGAGGCGTTCTTCGTAAGGCTTAGATTTCAGTTAGGGAATGCATCTGCGGATTCCCAGCTACTTATACCGTTATGCTGATAGACAGTGACACCAGGAAAATATGTTGGCTTTCGTCCATGGGATTAAACCCTAGAACACTAAGCTTCAGGTTGGGACACGGTATTAATTCCCGTCTCCTGAAGGTATTTTCTACGCATCAAAGGGATGTTGTGTTACACGTGAGGTTAGTTAAGTGTTGAAATCATTCTTGTGTGAATTGTGACTTCTGCTCGCTTCATAGGTAGTTGGACCTAAGCTGTCGGCGAATCAATGCTAGTCGTGGTGACGGAGGTCGTTTCCTCAGTGCCGCGCACTTATTTCGAAGGCAATTATCGTGTACACTTTAGAGTAATCTCTAACTAACTTCTGGACAGTCCAAGCAATTAGTTCAAATCATTATGGAGAGCTGTCTCATCGGTGTCACTGCACACTACTTAGCGAATATTTACATAGTCTTCAAACAAAATTGAGAAACGTCCCACTCTGTTAGTGTTGGTGTGAGACACTGGCACACCCCTCCATCCAAAAGCACCCAGTTTATTGATAGTCTCATCGGTCTCACAGTACGTGTTTGGTCCAGGCTTTTATTATGTTATTTTCAAGTTTGAAATCTTGTGCATAGGTCCTACAGAGTTTCCGCATCGAATGTTTATTAAAACCGGTGAATATTACCGGAATTCATCCGTGCCTGTACCTTTGGATTGGGATAACAAAACGTGCTTGAAGTTAATGCTTCAGAATTCACTTTTCTATCATCAGTGTACCTTAATAATGTATAAAGATAATTTGGTGTCGTCAGTGATGTCCGTTCCGCGTCAAACACGGTTGTTCGCTATTCTCAATCAGAAAGCCTAATGTTTCAATTTAAAAAGCTTCAAGAGCATAAACACTTAGGAGTAGTGATAAGTCATGATTTGAAAACAACTGCGCATTGCAAAGCAGCCGCTGTCAAAGGTTTTCGTGCGTTATGGTCACTTCGACGAGCGTTCAGATCTTTTGACGAGGAAAACGTTTCGAATTTTATATCCCATATATGTAAGACCACATTTAGAGTACTGTATCCAAGCAGCTAGCCCGTGTCTGGTAAAGGATACTAACTCCCTTGAGCGTGTCCAGCGTGTGGGAACGAAATTAGTGAAGGTTGTTTCTAGACTCCCTTACGATGAGCGTTTAAAACGCCTAAATCATTCCCCCTTATCGTATCGTAGGACACGAGGTGACCTTATACTGCACTCGTATCTCTAATTATGATTTGGGTGTTAATATGTCTTATCATTTTGCCCCCCCCTCGAGCACTAATAATCTCCGAGGTCATAGCAAGAAGGTTCATAAACCACGATCTAATAAACTTAAAGTGTGGTCTTGTTTTTCTCATCGAGTAGTCAATCATTGAGACGCCTTACCCGAACAAGTGGTATCAGCTCCATCAGTGAATACTTTCAAGGAAAAGCTGGACCTTCACTGGAAAGCAGTGTATCAGGATTAATACAGGTTCACCAACCTACTATCCTTATTACTGAGGACTGGGTGATGAATCCAATTATAGAAAGCGGATAGGTATTTGTTCAGTCACTATTTAATTTCCCGAATTCATCTCAGGGTATTAAAAAGGTGGTTAGTAGTTCTAAATTTATTTTATATTATTTGAACACATAAATATTGGTACAAGAGAGCGCCAATATATATGCGCCACACAAAACAATGGGAATTCGAAGAGAAGTAGAAAGAGAAAAAAAAACAGCTAAGGAACGCAAAAGAAAAAGAGAACAATGACGAAGAGATTGGAGTAAGGTAGTGTGGTAGTAACGACGGAACGAAAAGGTACAATCGGAAGAAATCTTTCAGGTAAGGAAGACACAACCACTTTTTATGAAGAAAGTAAAAGAAGGTTACAGCAGGATCGCCATTGGCTTCTATTCTGAGCCGTATCTGATAACGTCTCTAGCCACTGTGTAGCACCATCTCTCGGACCCCAACCAGGGAGTCGTGAAGGACCAACACAAGCCAGTCCTTTGCAGCTTTCTTTCATACCACGACACCATGTCATATACTGATGTATGTAGTTGTTTTGTTTTGGAATATCTGGTTGGTATATATATCATTCCCAATAGTGTAACATGCTTGGAAAGTGCCATAGGACTGACCTGAAAATAGTTTCTGGTGCTTTGTACAGAAATATCTTGGAAAATTCAAACTTCTTTCAAGTGTAAACAAAATACGTTTATCCTACGGTGGTGTGACAACTTATTACTCCCATAATGTATCGTCTCCTTAACATTTCGAAATATCATTTTGTTTACATGGAATGAACAACATTGATGAAAAATGGAAAAGAGTAACGAAAACTGACTATCGATTAAAGAAACAGACTAAAAAGAGCTGTGACCATGGAAGAATGAAAGATCGTATGTGCTACTTTTGCACACAGAATTCAGGCTTGGATTGTTAAAGCTTCTGCAGTGCACAAGCTTTTAATTTCTGCTCCCTATGAGCCAGCTTGTTTGGACGTGTATATTATTCAATTGGGATAACCTGACAAGGATTGATGAGAAGTTACTAGGCTGATGATCGTGTTACATTCTCCTTTTAAGGGCTAATCAAGCTACATTTCTGAGATGAGTTTTGGTGAGCACTTACTGTTTTCTATCAATTTAATTTGTCCCACAAGAACAAGTAAACTTATATATGTACAGGATTTAATGAAGATGCTTATCCGTGGCTGATACTACGGATAGCGAAGACAATATAAAAATTTACATAATATGAAGTCATCCTCAAAAATTTCGGAATTCAGCTTTCCAGAATATTTATGTGGAAGGAATTGTCTCGTGCTGCCAGCATCAGTTGATAATGTTGATACTATTTATCACAAAACTAAGTACTATTATTCATCTTTTCTTTAATGATCTGTGTTCGGAATGTAAGGTTTGGACCTGATATCATTTTAAAGCGCAACATGTATAAATAAAACGAAGTTAAACTACAAATAGACTGTAACAATGTTTCTTCTCATTACGGGTTTCGGTCACTTCAACTTAATGTCATTAGTGTTTTCTACCCTAAAGCAATTTAGACTCAACCAATTCTTCCTTTTTGTCATTCATTCAAATACCACTATATGATCAGTCAGTGAGCTAAAATGAAGGACCAGGCACACATATACATCGGTCAAAGTTGCTACATATTAACACAACAAGATGAACACCAAATTAATTGAAGTATTTACTTCGATGATAGTAATAAATAAAAGAAAAGTTGTGTTTAAGGATATAATACAGGAAGGAATTAGAATGGTATGAAGTTATTGCAATCTCACGGTTTAAGAAAACACAAAGAGTGCGTACACCGACGCCATTGTGATCGATTCTGAGCCATGTCACCCAGAATCTCCAAACATTGGTTAAGATAGTCACGCGGACCCCAACCAAGTAGTCTGTATCCACCAACATGGCTCAGACTAGAAGTTAGTGAGTTCAATCACTGATGCCGCGTATTAGTTTGGCCGCCCCTAACTTTCTTCCAACCACCTCCAACACCGGTTAGCATTCCACGTCGTGGTAATCGGTGTTCAGGCATACGTAACACGTGGCCAACAGTCTTAGTCGATGAAGATTAACAACCTCATCAATTGATTTACCATCATTACCTAATACCCCGCGTCTAACCCCACTATTACTTACCCTGTGATCCCGACAGACGCCAACAATATTTCTGAGGCATCTGTTGTCAAATACTAGTAGCTTACAAGTATCTTCTACTCTTAATCTCCATGTTTCGCTGCCGTAAAGTAAGACAGAACGGACTGCCACGCAGTATACTCGTCCTTTTATTGATAGACGGATATCTCGCCTTCGCCATAGGTGACGTAAGTTGGCAAAAGCCAAACGAGCTTTTCGAATCCGTGCAGCGATTTCGTCAAACACCAATCCATTAGGGCTGATCAGACTTCCAAGATAAGTGAAGTTGTCAACACCTTCGACTACTTCACTCCCTATCCTTAATTCAAGTGTTGACGCAGACCAGTCCTGAAGCAACAACTTGCATTTAGAGGGGGAGAAACGCATCCCAAACATTCTGGCATTGTTGCTTAGTGCTACCAAAAGACTGCATTTTATCAGTGTTTCCACCAAACTGGACTATGTCATGTGTATATTATAAGTCAATAAGTGGATCTCCTGTTAGATCAGGTCCCGAAAATTCAGACGAAGATAACGTTATTCCCAGTAATAGATTTATGATGAAACTAAACAACAATAGAGATGATGGGCAGCCTTGCCAGACATCACTTGGGGTTCTAAATTCAGATGGCAGTTCACCGTAATCTCTGACCTGACTGGTAGTGTTCGAGTAAATAGCCTGTCCAAGGTTTATGTACTTCTGAGGTGTACCTTTCAGTGACAGTCACGGACACAGAATCTCTCGGTCTACAGTGTCAAATGCTGCCTTTAAGTCAAGAAAAACCACCATTTTCGAACGCTGATAAGTATGCCTGTGTTCTGGAACCTGGCGAATGGTGGATAAGTGGTCAATACAGCCACGACCAGGTCTGAAGCCAGCTTGATTTTCTCGTGTTTGCAGTTCATGAGTCTTTGCTAGGCGTCCGATAATTATTGAGGCTAGTACTTTAGATGCTATATTAGTCAAACCAATCCGTCTATGGTTGTCACAGGATGATTTTGACCCTTTCTTATATATTGGGACAATCAGTGATTGTGACCAGTCAGATGGGATTACGTCCAACTCCCAAATTCTAGCCAAAATATTGGTCAGCCTAATCGCTAAAATTGGACCACTATCCTTAAATACCTCTGGAGCCAATCCATCTGGACCATCTGGTCTTCTTCGTTTCAGATTAACTATAGTTTTCTGAACTTCAGCTAGATTTGAAAGTTAACGTAGGAGGAATAATAGCAATTGAAGAAGGAGATTGATTATGAATATAGTGGTCTCGAGTGCTGTTAGAGGTCTGAGGGCAGTCATCACTTCTCAGCTGCCCACACAGTGGAAGGGTTCTTCTGGAGGTATCTGAAGAGCAAATCGGGTTGGAGTTGGACCTGAGAGTGTGACTGTTGTGCCTAAGGTACAACTGCTTGAGATCGACCACACACAACAATTTTTGTGTTAGCTCCGTATTTGTTGAGACCTTATCACCGAAGACGGTCATCCGTGGGATAAGGCGAGGTGTGTATTTTTAGGAACGACCTTTTCTAACCCGGTCCATCCTTGTGGGAAGGCAGCACTACTGTTATGCTGGTTTTCTGAATGAACCATCATACTGCCGTCACACCTCTGTACCGTCAGGAGTACGAATTCGCCTTCGCACCTTGGGTTTGTTGCTTTTAGTCTTACCGCTCCTCACCCGATCTGTCTGGTATGGTAGGACCTTGAGAAACGTTTGTCATAGCCAGTATAGCTCGATTGGTTCATCATGATAGGCCATCCTGACCACCCCTTCAAGCTAACAGCAACGGTCGGAACTATATGATCACAAACTTAGAAAAGGTAACGAAAAGTGTGTACAGTTTTGAAGCTGAAATTAGATCAGAGGTTAACTCACTCAATTAGTTTGGTAACTATTTTCTGGATTTTAATCAATATTTAAAATCTCTTACACAATACTGATTTATAGTATAATTTTGGTTTCAGTCATAGACCGTTCTTATTTAAAAAAAAAGTTTTATTCTAGGGATTTTGACAGTACGCTTCGCTTACTCAGTACTCAGTACAATGCGGGAGACCGGGCGAGTCTCGCAAGTTGCTGCAGAAATGAAGAGATGCAACCTGGAGGTGCTTGGAATCAGTGAAACTCATTGGACGCAGGTTGGACAACAATTAGCTTCAAGAGAGCTTCTGTTGTACTCCAGTCATGAAGAAAAAAATGCTCCACATACACAAGGAGTTGTATTGATGCCATCAAAACAAGCACAAGAAGCGTTTATAGGATGGGAATCTCATGAACTAAGGATCTTCAAAGCCTCCTTCAAAACACAGAAAGAGGGCATTGCAATGAACGTCATCCAATGCTATGCGCCTACCAACGACTACAATGAAGACGCTAAAAATCAATTCAACGATAGGCTGCAGTCAATCGTCGAGAAGTGCCCAACAAAGGACCTGACCATTCTGATGGGAGATTTCAATGCCAAGGTTGGAATGGACAACACCGGCTATGAAGACATCATAGGGCGACATGGACTGACTGGGAGAAAGGAACGAAAATGGTGAGAGATTTGCAAACCTATGTGCCTTCAATAAACTGGTCATAGGCTGCACTATATTCTCACATAAGCGCATTCACAAAATCACATGGACTTCACCGTATCACACTACGCAAAACACAATCGACCATATCTGCATCAACAAAAAGTTCAGGAGGACGATGGAAGACGTGAGAACCAAGAGAGGAGCTGATGAAATTGAAACTCAAGAAGTACTGGACAACGGGGCGGACAATATCAAAAAAATTTAATATGGCCTTTCTTTGAGGTACTGACAGACCCAACGAATTCAAGATAGTCCTCAGCAATATGTTCCAGGTCTTTCATGATCTACTCAATGGAGAGGGAACTACTATAGGGAGCAACTGGAAAGGGATCCAGGAGGTAATCGCTTCAACATGTCATGAGGTTCTGGGCCACGAGAAGCACCATCACAAAGAATGGACCACTGTTGATACACTGGATGAGATTCAATAAAGAAGGAACAAGAATGTAGAAATCAATTTCAGCCGAACATAAGCAGAGAAAGCCGATGCACAAACTGAATACACAGAGGTAAACGAGAAAATGAAGATGAGCATCAGAACTGATATACGTAAATATGTGGAAGATCTAGCAATGACGGCAGGAAAGGCTGGAAGAGAAGGAAACATGAGACAATTGTATGATACAACAGAGAAGCTCTCTGAAAATTATCATAAAGCAGAAAGACCAGTGAGAAGCAAGGAAGGCAAAGTAATCACTACATTGAAGAACAGCGAAACAAGTGGGTAGAAAACTTCAAGCAACTTTTGAATCAACAAGCCCCACTGAACCCACCCAAAATCGAAGCAGCACCTACGGACGTCCAATCAATGTTAGCCCACCGACAATTGAAGATATCATCATGGCCATCAGATAAATCAAGAGCGGCAAAGCAGCGGTACCAGACAACATTCCAGCAGAGATACTGAAAGCAGATGTAGCAGTAAATGCAAAGATACTCCACATTCTCTTCAATAAGATTTGGGATGAATAACAAGTACAAATAGACTGATTAGAGGACTTCTGATCAAATACCGAGGAAAGGCGATATCAGCAAGTGTGAGAACTACGGAGACATCACTCTTCTCTCAATACGAGGAAAAGTCTTTAACAAGGTGTTGTTAAACAGAACAAAGGAATCCGTAGACGCCAGACTGGATTCCGTAAAGATCGATCGTGTACAGACCAAATCGCAACTCTACGGATCATTGTGGAACAATCAATTGAATGAAATTCATCACTCTATATTAACTTCATTGATTACGAGAAAGCATTTGATAACGTGGACAGGACAACACTATGGAGGCTTCTTCAACACTACGGCGTGCCTGAGAAGGTAGTCAGTATCATACGGAATTCCTGTGACGGATGAAACTGCAAAATCGTGCATGGAGGCAGCTAACAGACTCGATCGAAGTAAAGACCGGTCTTGATTTGGTTCTTTATTTTAGGTCGTGAATCCTGGTTCTGATATAATGTGATTAGTTTTATTAACGTATTACCGTAATATACGCGCGAGAGGGAAATATATCAAGAATATCAAACATTAAAAATATTCACTATAAAAATTGAATATACGTTAAAGACTATAGTACTTGATTTTATATAGGGCACTTGATAACTCAACTAGACTTATGGTTAAAAAATTGAACCGAAATCTCTCATCTTGTAGTTGTATTTAAAGTTTAGTCTTACAAGTGTCTCATAGTTTCTAATCAGTCTGAACACTTATTTATCTTTATTTAGACATCACCATGATCCGCACTGGATGATTTCCACTCATGCTAAACTTATTCATAACTTTCATTTTCTCACCAAATATATGGTCGTACAACTTCTGATAATGAGATAATCAGAGAGGAGAATTTCTTCCTTTGAAAATTTATTTTAACTCAACATTAGTTTGATACAGAAAGATTTTCATCTTAAAAGGTTATGTTGTCCTGTCTACTTAAACTTATGAATGCCATTTTGGGATTAAAAAGCAGTCCCATAAACGAAATACTCCTTATTGCATTTTGTCTGCTAACTACATATGTAGAATAGAAGATATCGCACTTATGTCTTTATAAAGTCACTTTTGTGGGTTTCAGAGAAAATACATAGCTCGCAAATCAACAGACAAAGTTCATGTTCAAATGAACAACAAGTTCATATCAAGACCGGTAGTTATAAAAAGACATGCAATTTAACTATTGTCTGCTGTCTTCACATAAGTCAGTAGTATAGACATGCATATGAAGACATATGGAGGGTTGAAATCAACACTGATTGATTGTTTAATCGATACACTCATAACCTGTAGTTGTTCAGACAGGACTCTGTATCATGTGGCTTTCATCAATATGGTTTAGGAAGTTGTTTGATCACGTGCCAACGAGAGATTTGATTTATTATGCTAAATCGCCGGATTTAGTTGATGTGGTTTTTATTATTATGATTACTGGTAACAATAATGCGACTTAGATCTAACAAATGTCTAGATATTTTCAGAAATATCGAAACAATAGTGTCTATTAAATAAACTGTTATTACCAAATCGATTTTTGTCCACCAGACAAGGTAAACTATTTAGCATTTTATCAGTGGATTTTTTTTTGGCTCCAAAACAAATATTTGACCGGTTAGGAAAATTTTAGAACTGTTACCAATCTAATGGTAGTATTTTTTCTTAAGAAAACTGTAATTTTTCAGCTCAGTAAGAAATGTAGTTAGGGTCTAATCAGTGTTTGCTGAGCGTCTCAATACGAGTCAGTTGACCGTACCCAACTTTATTTTCAATAATACACATCTGAAGTAAGGATATTTTTTGTCAGCTGTGACACAAATTAATCTCTACAAAATGCG